GGTCAGGAGACAGAGGAGGAGTAACAGGAGGGGAACGAGGGGGAAGGCGAGCCGGAGATGAGTCCGGAGGAGGGAACACAGGGCCGAAAATAGAAAGAGGAGGAGACGGAAGAAGAGGGGGAGACGCGCGGTGAGGGGAGGGAAGGCTGAGCAGGCGAAGGGCGGACACCGGCGGTGACTGCTGCTGCGGCGGCTGCACGACGCCAACACCTGGACCGCCAGCTGCTCCATGGCTACCTCCGGAACACTCCACTCCAGCACCCCCAGACGAAACACCCCCAGAACCAGAAGCTCGCTCCACACCGGCACCACCCCAAGGCCCGCCAGGACAGGCCACGACAGGAGCCCCAGGACTAGCACCCTCCTCAACGCCAGCACCCCCAGAAGGCACAAACTGCTGCTGCGGCGGCGACAACGAAGGCGGCTACGGCAGCGGCGGCAACGACGACTGCAGCTGCGGCTGCGGCTGTGACGAAGGGCCACCAGAGTCAGCAGACTCCTCAACCGGGACAACCGACGGGAGGGGGGTAACGTGAGACACACCAGACGAGGCAGGGCGGGGAGGAGGGGGGGCAGGGGCAACCGGGGGAGGAGGGACCAGGAACAGGGGGGGGGTAACCGGGGGACCACGGTGGGGAAAGCGGTGGTAGAAGGAGACGTACTCGTCAAAGGTGACGCCGCGAGAGTGAAAGAAATAGTGAGACGGGGGGTGGTAGAAGTGCCGGTCAGACGAGTCGAGGGGGAAACCTAGGAAGACACAGACGAGTGTGCAGGCAGTGAGCTTGTCCGTGCCAGAGGCACGAACGTGGGCAAGGCAGCCCCAGATGTGGAACGCAGACTCGTCACGAGGAGACCCGGTCCGGAGGAAGGTCGGCGAAACCTGCGGCCGCTGAGGGTGTGGCCACAGGTTAAGCTGGTGAGCGGCGTAGCGAACGGCGAACGGCCACAGAAAATGGGGTGCACCGGTATGGATCATGGAGGAACGAGCCACCTCCATGACCAAACCGATGCGTCGCTCAGCGACCCCATTCTGCTGCGGGGAGTCCGGGAAGGTGAACGTCTGGGTGATGCCCTCCGCACGACAGAAACGACCAAGGCAACCTGAGGCAAACTCGCCACCGCGGTCAGAGTGGAGACGCAACACAGAGAGATTGTGGTGCATACGCACAGAGACAAGCCACGGGATAAGAGCGTCAGGCACGTCGGCCTTCCGCTCCAAAGGAAACACGGTGGTGTAACGAGTGTAGTCGTCAACAAGGACGAGGAAGTAACGCTCACGACGCGGCCCATGGACGGGGGCAGGGCCCCAGACGTCCATGTGCAAGGTCTGCAGCGGTGCGGTGGTGGGGGGGAACGAGGAGGAGTGAGGGGCACGGCGGAGCCGGCCCTCAACGCAGGGGGTGTACGGCGACGCGAGTGAGGAGGAGAGCTCGGGGAACGTTCCAGGAAGACCTAAGGCAAGACCGTACTACGACATGTGACGAAGACGGGGGAGGGCAGGGTGACCTAGACGATGGTGCCACAGGAGTGTCGGGTGAGTAAGGGACCGACACGAGCAAGCCGCAGCTACCTGAGGAGACACGGGCACCTGGGGAGACGCCCCAACCAGGGGGGGCGCGGTGGCCAGCATGAACAGGCCGGACACCGGGTCCCGGGGGAACGTGGTGAGGGGAGCACCAGTGGCGGCCTCGGTACAGACAGCGTACCGCTCGTGACCAGGAAACGTAGTGATGACGCCGAGGTCCTGGAGGCAGCCGACACCAACTGGGTTCCTAGAAAACGAGGGGATGTGCAGGCCTGTAAGCGAACCCGAAGGAGCCACTGGACAGGGAAGGGTAGTGGAGCTACGAGCTACGACAAGGCCTGAGGAAGGGTCAGCCAGGGAAAATGCGGCGGGAGCGGCAAGCGGCGTGAGAGTAGTGGAGTCCCGGAAGAAGCACCGGGAAGCACCGGAGTCTAGGGTGAAGGAAAGCGCAGCAGAGGCGGGAGGGGTCGAGGAAGCGACTGAGGAGCCTAGACTAAACAAAACAGGAGATCCTACGCCTGATGTAGCAGGGGAGTCTAAGCTAGGCACTCCTAGACAAGGCAATACGGGGTAAGCGGAACCAATCACACTAGAGTCATCGACATACAAAACATACAGCGCTGAGCTAATCTCATTCATGTCCATATCAAAGACCTGAACACCCCTACGAAGTAAGTTGAGCCAGTCAGGGAGGTCGGGCGCCGGGCCGAAGCGAAGACAAAACAGGTCGTCAAGGCGACTGAAACAGCGAGTGGTGGTGTGACTGATCGTACCGCACACGAGGCCACGGCGAGGATGGTCTGAAGCTGGTACTGGCAGCGCCCGTCGCCCGCACCACCACCTGGCGTCACGCCGCGCGCACGACCACCGCGACCGCCACCACCTCCAGCGCCGGGCCACCCAGGCGGGAGATAACCAACCCGCCTCATCGGTTGCTGCTGCGACGGCTGCTGCTACTGCTGCCGCTGCTGCTGCTGCTGCTGCGGCTGCTGCTGTGGTGGCTGCTGGTCGAGCGAGGGAACCTCCTGCTGCTCGGCGATGCTAGGCCCAGGGCCCTCGTCAGCACCCCCAGCGGGCGACCCGGCTCCACCACCTCCTCCACCCCAGCCACCCCCACCACCACGCCCAGCCTTGGGGCGGCGGCCCTTTCCAGGACGGGCCTGTACTGCACCGGCAGTCTCAGCCACTGCAGCAGAGCCGTCAGAGAAAGTGCACTGGGCGGGCGCACAGCCCTGAAAGATAGAGACCGGCACCGTACCGGTGGACAGAGCGATAGAGCGCTGGCGAGTCTCTATGGCAGACAGGTTGTCAACAAAGTCAGTGAGGGTGAGGTCTGCGGGGTGGGCACTAAGAAAGTGATCGCGGGCAGTGGCGAGGCGGTCAGGGAGGCGGGTGGCAAGCAAGTAGAGGGCATGCGGGAGAGGGGGCTGAAACACACGTAGCTGGGCCTCAGTTCAGGCTAAGCGCCAGGTCGAGTCTAGAGTGCGCAAGTGGGCGGCTAGGTCAGCGACAGTAGGGAAAGACGCGAGATCAGGGAAAAGCAGGGGTAAGATCAGGCGGCCTACGGAGGTAGAGGACGGGGTGGAATAGCGAGTAATGACAGCATCGAGGAACTCCTGTGCAGTCCTGATAGACCTAATGCGGGGACGCTCAGACAGGGGAAGCGAATGAATAGTGGCAAGCTGTGCAACACCGTCACGCAACAACCGGACTGAGCGGGTAAGAACAGCAGCAGCAGCACAATCTCGATCAGCAGACGTGGGGTCAACGGGCAGCGGAACGGAGGGGTCAGGACAGAGGAGCGCACCATCAAGGTGGACGGCCAAGGAGTGGCCGTCCTGCCGCTGACCTGTGAGGTGACGACGGAGGTCGACGAGCCACGTGTCGACTTCGATCGGCTGACCCTCCGCATCAAATCGCAGCACAGAGTCCGCCATCAGGAGCGAGGCAGCAGCAGTGTAGTGCGGTGCAGTGCAGTGCAGTATGGTGCTGAGGGATGCAGTGCGGTATAGTGCGGTGCAGGGCAGTGCAGACGGGCGTCAGGGCCTGGCGCGGAGAAGGGCGCGGGCCGGCGAACGGACGGGCGCGGGGCCGAAACGGGGCGGAGGGGCCGCGAGGGGACGGGGCCGCGGGGCCACTGGTCGACGGGGCCGAGGGGCCGCTAGGGGACGGGGCCGTGGGGCCGCTGGTCGATGGGGCCGAGGGGCCGCTAGGGGAAGGGGCCGCGGGGCCGCCTAGGAACGGGGCCGCGGGGCCGCTAGGGGACGGGGCCGCGGGGCCGTTGGTCGACGGGGTCGAGGGGCCGCTCGGAGACGGGGCCGTGGGGCCGCTGAGGGACGGGGCTGCGGGGCCGTTAGGGGACAGGGTCGCGGGGCCGCTAGGGGACGGGGCCGCGGGGCCGTTGGTCGACGGGGCCGAGGGTCCGCAAGTGGACGGGGCCGCGGGGCCGCTGGTCGACGGGGCTGAGGGGCCGCTACGGGACGGGGCCGCGGGGCCGCTAGGGGACAGGGCCGCGGGGCCCGCTAAGGGACAGGGCCGTGGGGCCGCTAGGGGACGGTGCCGCGGGGCCGCTGGCCGACGGGGCCGAGGGGCCGCTAGGGGACGAGGCCGCGGGACCGCTGGTCGACGGGGCCGAGGGGCCGCTACGGGTTGCGGCCGCGGGGCCACTAGGGGACGGGGCCGCGGGGCCTGCTAGGGGACAGGGCCGCGGGGCAGCTAGGGGACGGTTCCGCTGGTCGACGGGGCCGAGGGGCCGCTAGGGGACGAGGCCGCGGACCGCTGGTCGACGGGGCCGCGGGGACGCTAGGGGACGGGGCCGCGGGGCCGCTGGTCGACGGGGCCGAGGGGCCGCTAGGGGATGGGGCCGCAGGGCTGCTGGTCGACGGGGCTGAGGGGCCGCTACGGGACGGGGCCGCGGGGCCGCTAGGGGACGGAGCCGCAGGGCCCGCTAAGGGACAGGGCCGCGGGGTCGCTAGGGGACGGGGCCACGGGGCCGCTGGTCGACGGGGCCGAGGGGCCGCTAGGGGACGAGGCCGCGGGACCGCTGGTCGACGGGGCCGAGGGGCCGCTACGGGACGGGGCTGCGGGGTCGCTAGGGGACGGGGCCGCGGGGCTTGCTAGGGGACAGGGACGCGGGGCCGCTAGGGGACGGGGCCGCTGGTCGACGGGGCTGAGGGGCCGCTAGGGGACAAGGCCGCGGGACAGCTGGTCGACGGGGCCGCGGGGCCGCTACGGGACGGGGCCGCGGGACCGCTAGCGGACGGGGCCGCGGGGCCGCTAGGGGACGGGGCCACGGGGCCGCTGGTCGACGAGGCCGAGGCGACGCTTGGGGACGGGGCCGCGGGGCCGCTGGTAGACGGGGCCGAGGGGCCGCTAGGGGACGGGGCCGCGGGGCCGCTAGGGGACGTAGGACGGAAGCGCTGGTGGGAGGGAGGGACCTAACCTACTCATGATTCCATGTTAGAATGGAATAATGACTAGAATAGGAGGGTACAAGGCAATATAGGCTAGTGTGTTGTACCCAGGGCTGACGTTTCAAAAAAAACCACCCTGAGCTGTCGAATGGGGAAAATTTTTTACCCTGAGGGCCTAGTGTTGGTATTTTGACTTCCCTGATTTCTCAGTGTTCTGGAACTTACAACCCTGAAACCTCCAGGGTTGGCTTGCAACAATCAGGGTTGCATGGTACTTGGGAAAAAATCAACTAGGAATGTACAGCTACTAGTTAAGTAAAAGCACCACTACGCCACGCCAGTCTACAAGTCCTCTATCTAGTCTAGGCTTCACAATATTCCATGCCACTAGCTACACTTGACTAAAATTATGGGCCATCCATGTTCACTTCGTCTTCTGCGTCGTCATCGGACAGAAAGGGGTTGTCTTCCACTTCAGGAGCCTCTCCCCCCACTGCCCCCACTCCCCCCTCCTCCTCTCCCTCATCCTCTGCCCAATCCCCCATGTAGTCGGGGACTGCCTCCTCCTCCACCCTCACTTCTGCCCCCTCAATCGCCTTCGCCTTACGCTTCCTCTCCGCTGCGGCAAACAGAACAGACTTAGCAGGGCGCCTCAGCTTCTCGCGCCAGCACCCAATGGCCTCGTCCCAGTCAGTCTCGTACTGCAGCAGGGAAATGACCATCAGCTCGCTGAGGCGCGCATTGCACAACGCGCCCCGCACCCATGACTTGATGACGTTCTGCCGCGAGAAGCCTCGTTCACACTCCACTGTGCTAAGCGGCAGGACAGCGCATGCCTGCCACAAGCGCATGAGGTTGGGCCAGCGCCTGCCAGAAGGGTTGGGGGAATAGAGTACATGGAACAAGACCAGTGCATTAGCAATGCTTGTCAACAATCGATAAACAACAACTGATAAAGGAAACAATGAAACCGCCCAAAAGGAAAATCAATAATCGTCCTTCGAGCAGCACTCTCTCACAAGGTCGACTCCGTCGAGCCGAGGTAGTTCGTCAGGCCTTGATGGAATCCTTCGTCGGCATGGTGGCTCAGCATCAGTGGCGCCCACGTGACCAGCTCCTTCTGCGCAGCTTGCAAGGAAAAGCCTGTCAGCCTGTTGTCGAACAAGGCACTGCAGCCATGTAGGTACTCCTTCAGCTTCTTCTCTCTCTGCTGCTTCATCCGGGGCCACTTCGAGACGCGGAAGAGCTTCGTCGGGCCGAGATTGTTCAGGTCCAGCATCCTCGTCTTCAGGAAGCTTATCGTGTCCTTCGCGAATTGCGCGCAGAGCCGCTCGCAATCGGGGTACTTGCTGCGGAAGGCATGCCCGTCGATCTGCTTCTCGTGCATGGTGTAGGTGTGCGTGACTGGGTTGCCGTCCTTGTCGATGCCCCGCACCTTTACGCGTTTGCCCCCTCCGCGCCCGTAGACCGCCAAGAAAGCCGAAAGCCACGTGCCTTCGACACCCCCGCCGAACACCTCTCCGCACTCCAAGTAGCGGTGGCGGAGGTCCCCTGTCGCCTCGTCGATGTCCTTCGTCACTTCGGTGACATCGACCTGGTGGATGTGACAGACAACGGAGTGGAGTCAGAGGGTGATTCCAAACGTGCATGCATGGGACAAAAATTACATGCAGGGTGATAGAAGCTCACCTCCCTCTTCTGGAATTTGAGGTTGAGCTCATTCATCACTCCGAGGACGTCCGCCAGGAAAAAAAGACAAAACTGGAACTTGTAACAGATAACGACCTCATACAGCTCATGCCCGTACTCATAGAAGAGAATGATAGCGGCGCCGAGGACCTTACAAAGGCGCCTCACAGCCTCACCCCTTGAAAGCCAGCGCACGGTGTGAATTCCTTGCACTTCAAGGTTGGTGTTATGTATTGCCCGCTGCAGGTACTTGAAGCGTTGACTCCAGACACATGAACGTCCCAGAAGATCGGCCAGAGTCCGAATCACAAGGTCGACCATGTCGAAGTCTGGAGAAGCAGTGGCCGCGTCCTTCACCGCCAAGGCTTCCCTGCATGGTGCACACAAGGGAATTTTAGTCAAGCACTTGTAGGAAACCTAAGCGACTGAAATGACAAGCGGTTAAACCTGTGGGCGATGCAGTGCGAAGAGACGAGATGGGGGATGTGCTCGCGAAGTCGGGCGACGAGACCGTTGTCTCGGCCGACCATGACAGAGGCGCCGTCGGTGCTCATGCCGGTGATTCGGGAGAGATCGATGCCAGTTGCTCGCAAGTGAGCCAGAAGAACGGCGAGGAGTGACGCGGCGTCGCACTTTTCGACGGTCAAGAGTGCAAAAAACTCAGTCACAACACGATGCGCCCGCAAGAAGGTCAGATAAACAATCAGATGTTTACCGCGAGTACGGTCAGTGCTCTCGTCGCAGCTGATGCCGAGGTAGGGTGAGGCGAGAATGTATTGCATTTGTCGGCGCTGCAGGTAGGTTGCCAGGCTGCTGACGAGCTGACAGAAGCCATACCTGTAGTAGCAGAAGTGACAACAAGGTGTTGGTTAGACCTTTTTGAAAAAAAAAGGACATGGTGTACTTCGAATAAGTGCATTACCTTGTCAGGTAGACTCCGTAAGACTGCAGCGGAATGTCCGGTGTCTCCTGCTCGGCCATGAAGCGGAGTAGCCTCGGGTACATGCTGATGGGTGCATCACACTTGCACAGGAAGTCGACGCAGCGTAGGAGCCTCATGACGCGCTTCCCTTCGATGTCAATCCGCGCGTAATTCTCCATGCGCCTCTGGGTGCTGGCGATCTCTTCGGCGATCTCCATCTGACGCTTGACGGCTACTTCGTGGGCTGTCGTGTGTTCGTGGAACCGCATCGCTTGCGTCTGCAGGTCACGTGCCCCGTCGCGGCTGTTGGAGTACGGTGTTGTCTCTTTGCCGAAAGCCTTGCACACACTGCACTTCAAAGCAGGGTAACCATCTTTCGTTTTCGTTAGCAGAAGCCAAGGGAAAAAAGGAAGCCAGCTGGTCTTATACTTGTGCTCAGCCATGAGATACTTCTGCTCGATGAGTTCCTACTTTGAGAGCTTCGGCGGCTCGGGTTCTGGAATACCAGGGGCCTGAGGTTCAGGCGACGAGCGAGGCGGCGACGGTCTATGTAGCTTCCCGCCGAGGACTATCGTGCTCTGGGTGTACTTCCCGACGCGTGCTTTCTTCCCAGATGAAATCGTCGACGCACACTCGACCGTGTAACGCACGGTCGTGGCTGTCTCGCAGTCTGGAACCAAAGGGCCCCGGCTAGATGAAGCGACAGCGGGCGGAGGTATATAGGGAGCGGCGGGAGTAGATACGGGTTGTGATGGTGTAAGGAGTGCGGTGGGAGACCGCAAGATGTCTAGCGCGGATCTACGGACCTCCACGGGGGGGTCCCTACCTAGTTCAGAACTATCGTCGGCAGTGGGAGACTCACCAGAGTCTCCTACATCCGCCATGGCTAGAAGCGGCGGATATGCTGAAAATGAGAAATCGGCACGACGAAACTAGAGGAGATTGAAGACTGGAGCATCTCGCAGCTGTGACGTGAAGAAATGAAAAAAACTGGGTTGGAGGAGGAGCTGGTGAAGAAGACGGGAAGAGGACCAAGAAGCCCCATCTCTCGATTTTCATGGATGGTGCATAACCCATCCAGGTTCCCGTATCGCCATGGCGATACCGTCAACGGCGAAACGCACCTGCGCTGGCATCGTCTGCACAGAGATGATTGGCGGGGTGATGTCATACAGAGGCTGACATTGCCGCGCTCATCATATTCTGTCCTCGTCTGCTGCGTGCTGAGTCACGAATGCCAGTTGACGGTTGCAAATGTTGCTGTAATGGCAGCATACAGCGTGTATACGGCGGGAATCTTGCCGAGTGCAGATTCCCCACGTGACGCATGCTGGGCGTGTTCAATGGACTGGGCCCCGTCACGCGTAAGGGGGCCATTTCGAGGAAATTCAGGGTCCGCATGGATGTCGCATTCAGGGTTCGTACGCGTTACTCCCTGAAAACTCAGTGTTGGTATAACACAAACCCTGAAATTTTAAGTGTTCAAAGACATACAACCCTGAAGAGGTTAGGGTTCAAAAAAACCCAACCCTGAAAATTAAGGGTTGGCAAAAAAAATACCCAGTGAAATCAGGGAATCAGGGTAAAATACCCTGATAACGACAGGCCTGGCCCACACCGCACTCCACACAGCAGCTGCACGCTGCACAGAGAGAAGACAAGACTGGTGGCTGGTGCGTGGTGGATTGCTCAAGAACGAGTCATCCTTGATATTCAACACTCGGACTAGCACGCCTGCAACCACGATATTGACCTGTGGTGGGGTGGAGTGCAAGGCTGACGTTTCAAAAAAAACCACCCTGAGCTGTCGAATGGGGAAAAAAATTTACCCTGAGGGCCTAGTGTTGGTATTTTGACTTCCCTGATTTCTCAGTGTTCTGGAACTTACAACCCTGAAACCTCCAGGGTTGGCTTGCAACAATCAGGGTTGCATGGTACTTGGGAAAAAATCAACTAAGAATGTACAGCTACTAGTTAAGTAAAAGCACCACTACGCCACGCCAGTCTACAAGTCCTCTATCTAGTCTAGACTTCACAATATTCCATGCCACTAGCTACACTTGACTAAAATTATGGGCCATCCATGTTCACTTCGTCTTCTGCGTCGTCATCGGACAGAAAGGGGTTGTCTTCCACTTCAGGAGCCTCTCCCCCCACTGCCCCCACTCCCCCCTCCTCCTCTCCCTCATCCTCTGCCCAATCCCCCATGTAGTCGGGGACTGCCTCCTCCTCCACCCTCACTTCTGCCCCCTCAATCGCCTTCGCCTTACGCTTCCTCTCCGCTGCGGCAAACAGAACAGACTTAGCAGGGCGCCTCAGCTTCTCGCGCCAGCACCCAATGGCCTCGTCCCAGTCAGTCTCGTACTGCAGCAGGGAAATGACCATCAGCTCGCTGAGGCGCGCATTGCACAACGCGCCCCGCACCCATGACTTGATGACGTTCTGCCGCGAGAAGCCTCGTTCACACTCCACTGTGCTAAGCGGCAGGACAGCGCATGCCTGCCACAAGCGCATGAGGTTGGGCCAGCGCCTGCCAGAAGGGTTGGGGGAATAGAGTACATGGAACAAGACCAGTGCATTAGCAATGCTTGTCAACAATCGATAAACAACAACTGATAAAGGAAACAATGAAACCGCCCAAAAGGAAAATCAATAATCGTCCTTCGAGCAGCACTCTCTCACAAGGTCGACTCCGTCGAGCCGAGGTAGTTCGTCAGGCCTTGATGGAATCCTTCGTCGGCATGGTGGCTCAGCATCAGTGGCGCCCACGTGACCAGCTCCTTCTGCGCAGCTTGCAAGGAAAAGCCTGTCAGCCTGTTGTCGAACAAGGCACTGCAGCCATGTAGGTACTCCTTCAGCTTCTTCTCTCTCTGCTGCTTCATCCGGGGCCACTTCGAGACGCGGAAGAGCTTCGTCGGGCCGAGATTGTTCAGGTCCAGCATCCTCGTCTTCAGGAAGCTTATCGTGTCCTTCGCGAATTGCGCGCAGAGCCGCTCGCAATCGGGGTACTTGCTGCGGAAGGCATGCCCGTCGATCTGCTTCTCGTGCATGGTGTAGGTGTGCGTGACTGGGTTGCCGTCCTTGTCGATGCCCCGCACCTTTACGCGTTTGCCCCCTCCGCGCCCGTAGACCGCCAAGAAAGCCGAAAGCCACGTGCCTTCGACACCCCCGCCGAACACCTCTCCGCACTCCAAGTAGCGGTGGCGGAGGTCCCCTGTCGCCTCGTCGATGTCCTTCGTCACTTCGGTGACATCGACCTGGTGGATGTGACAGACAACGGAGTGGAGTCAGAGGGTGATTCCAAACGTGCATGCATGGGACAAAAATTACATGCAGGGTGATAGAAGCTCACCTCCCTCTTCTGGAATTTGAGGTTGAGCTCATTCATCACTCCGAGGACGTCCGCCAGGAAAAAAAGACAAAACTGGAACTTGTAACAGATAACGACCTCATACAGCTCATGCCCGTACTCATAGAAGAGAATGATAGCGGCGCCGAGGACCTTACAAAGGCGCCTCACAGCCTCACCCCTTGAAAGCCAGCGCACGGTGTGAATTCCTTGCACTTCAAGGTTGGTGTTATGTATTGCCCGCTGCAGGTACTTGAAGCGTTGACTCCAGACACATGAACGTCCCAGAAGATCGGCCAGAGTCCGAATCACAAGGTCGACCATGTCGAAGTCTGGAGAAGCAGTGGCCGCGTCCTTCACCGCCAAGGCTTCCCTGCATGGTGCACACAAGGGAATTTTAGTCAAGCACTTGTAGGAAACCTAAGCGACTGAAATGACAAGCGGTTAAACCTGTGGGCGATGCAGTGCGAAGAGACGAGATGGGGGATGTGCTCGCGAAGTCGGGCGACGAGACCGTTGTCTCGGCCGACCATGACAGAGGCGCCGTCGGTGCTCATGCCGGTGATTCGGGAGAGATCGATGCCAGTTGCTCGCAAGTGAGCCAGAAGAACGGCGAGGAGTGACGCGGCGTCGCACTTTTCGACGGTCAAGAGTGCAAAAAACTCAGTCACAACACGATGCGCCCGCAAGAAGGTCAGATAAACAATCAGATGTTTACCGCGAGTACGGTCAGTGCTCTCGTCGCAGCTGATGCCGAGGTAGGGTGAGGCGAGAATGTATTGCATTTGTCGGCGCTGCAGGTAGGTTGCCAGGCTGCTGACGAGCTGACAGAAGCCATACCTGTAGTAGCAGAAGTGACAACAAGGTGTTGGTTAGACCTTTTTGAAAAAAAAAGGACATGGTGTACTTCGAATAAGTGCATTACCTTGTCAGGTAGACTCCGTAAGACTGCAGCGGAATGTCCGGTGTCTCCTGCTCGGCCATGAAGCGGAGTAGCCTCGGGTACATGCTGATGGGTGCATCACACTTGCACAGGAAGTCGACGCAGCGTAGGAGCCTCATGACGCGCTTCCCTTCGATGTCAATCCGCGCGTAATTCTCCATGCGCCTCTGGGTGCTGGCGATCTCTTCGGCGATCTCCATCTGACGCTTGACGGCTACTTCGTGGGCTGTCGTGTGTTCGTGGAACCGCATCGCTTGCGTCTGCAGGTCACGTGCCCCGTCGCGGCTGTTGGAGTACGGTGTTGTCTCTTTGCCGAAAGCCTTGCACACACTGCACTTCAAAGCAGGGTAACCATCTTTCGTTTTCGTTAGCAGAAGCCAAGGGAAAAAAGGAAGCCAGCTGGTCTTATACTTGTGCTCAGCCATGAGATACTTCTGCTCGATGAGTTCCTTCTTTGAGAGCTTCGGCGGCTTGGGTTCTGGAATACCAGGGGCCTGAGGTTCAGGCGACGAGCGAGGCGGCGACGGTCTATGTAGCTTCCCGCCGAGGACTATCGTGCTCTGGGTGTACTTCCCGACGCGTGCTTTCTTCCCAGATGAAATCGTCGACGCACACTCGACCGTGTAACGCACGGTCGTGGCTGTCTCGCAGTCTGGAACCAAAGGGCCCCGGCTAGATGAAGCGACAGCGGGCGGAGGTATATAGGGAGCGGCGGGAGTAGATACGGGTTGTGATGGTGTAAGGAGTGCGGTGGGAGACCGCAAGATGTCTAGCGCGGATCTACGGACCTCCACGGGGGGGTCCCTACCTAGTTCGGAACTATCGTCGGCAGTGGGAGACTCACCAGAGTCTCCTACATCCGCCATGGCTAGAAGCGGCGGATATGCTGAAAATGAGAAATCGGCGCGACGAAACTAGAGGAGATTGAAGACTGGAGCATCTCGCAGCTGTGACGTGAAGAAATGAAAAAAACTGGGTTGGAGGAGGAGCTGGTGAAGAAGACGGGAAGAGGACCAAGAAGCCCCATCTCTCGATTTTCATGGATGGTGCATAACCCATCCAGGTTCCCGTATCGCCATGGCGATACCGTCAACGGCGAAACGCACCTGCGCTGGCATCGTCTGCACAGAGATGATTGGCGGGGGGATGTCATACAGAGGCTGACATTGCCGCGCTCATCATATTCTGTCCTCGTCTGCTGCGTGCTGAGTCACGAATGCCAGTTGACGGTTGCAAATGTTGCTGTAATGGCAGCATACAGCGTGTATACGGCGGGAATCTTGCCGAGTGCAGATTCCCCACGTGACGCATGCTGGGCGTGTTCAATGGACTAGGCCCCGTCACGCGTAAGGGGGCCATTTCGAGGAAATTCAGGGTCCGCATGGATGTCGTATTCAGGGTTCGTACGCGTTACTCCCTGAAAACTCAGTGTTGGTATAACACAAACAGGCCCCCAAATTGGTTTTAGGCTTGTCTGATTCATCAGACTTGCCTGCCATCTCTTGGTATGGCCTTCAGAGTCGCCCCCTAAAAAAAGTCTGAAAAATCAGAGTAACAATAATTTATTTGTCTGATTAATCAGAGTTACCATTGTTTTTAACTCTGATTTCAAAGTGAGTGTTTTGCACGTTACTTTTCCATTCCCTTCCCAACCGCTGCCCTCATACTTCTTGCTTGAGGGGCTTTCTCTCGCGTGCGCTCCCTACCTTATCTGTGTTCTGGCGACGGTGCGGAATTTCGCGGCGCCCTAGGCCCGGCCCCGCGCTGGTGCGGGTTTGGTTGATCAGTGAGGCTCATGGCAAGGCTGTGCTGTACTGTACAGCGCTCTTGCCAGGCCTGACAGAAGATTTTTTTACTTTGATAATCTCCCAGACAGACTGACATACGATTTTAAAAAATTTAGGTGAGTCTTTCACGGGTTTCTATCCCCCCCCGTCCCTGTTCCGTGTCTAGTAATTTCGCGTGCCTGAGGTACGGCGACGATATCGGTTGGTGGAGAAACGGGATCGTGGCGAATCGCGAATGGGGGACGAAATCGAGGGATGGGGGCGGAAAAGAATTGGGGGGCGGGCAAATCAAAATTGCAGGGGAGGTAGGGAAATCGGGGCCATCCAGGTGGCTATTTCGTGAAGGGCCAATGGGTGCTCTCGCACACACAGCCCGCTGCACTGGCAAGCACACCTCTGCAAAATTTTCCAAGGGCCAATCGGCCCCTCACACCGCACGCATCACAAACTGGGAGGTGATTTTGGTGAAGGGCCAGTCAGCTCCCTCACACAGCCCCCAGTACACATCGGCCAGCGATTTTGGTGAAGGGCCAGTCAACTCCCTCACACAGCCCCCAATACGCATTGGCCGTTGATTTGGGTGAAGGGCCAATAACTGCCCTCACAAAGCCCTGTCAACTTATACGTTCCTGCCCTAACCGAAATTCTTGTTCAGATTTCCACACCCACAGCCTCTCTCCCCTCTATGGGCTCTCTCCACAACCACTCCTCTCCCCTCGACTCCTCTAGCTCTAAACGCGTACATAATCCGAGTAGATCATTACATTTTCTTCACCAGTTTCTTGCTCTGCAGTAGTTCCGCTCTCTCCATCACTCTCTCGTTTCGTAGTCCTGAGCTCACGCGTTTACTCTCATCAGACGCTCTTTAACCTGCTCTAGAGACCTTCTCCAGCAGCTCTTTAAACTGCGTCGTAGTAACAGCCGTCTCACGTCGTCACCAGCACTTACGATGGCGACAAACTCGGCGCTGAACGTCAACCAGACCGCCATCTACGACCGACGACCGAACTCCGACACCAGGAGGCTCCGTACGACCACGCAAGGCTTCAGTGCGTTCTTCGCTGCGTTAAAGATTGGTAGATTCGAAAAGGACGCCAAGGACCCGCAGGGCAGGTCCTTCCGTCGGCCACTTGGATTCTCTCCCCTGCGTCCAGCGGCTGTGAGTCCAGCAAAGAAGGCTGCTGCTCAAGTCGCTAGCGAGCTGCCACAGAAGCAACAACAGACGACAATACAGCAGAAGGTCAAGCAACGGTCTCAAAAAATGGTTTCGCTGTCTGCGATTTCAAGCATGCCTTCAAGAATCCCAAAGCCTGTGAGCTCAAGAACGGCTTTAATGGTTCCTGAGGCGAGATCTACCAGCAGCAGCAGGGGAATAAGAGGACTGATGCTGAAGGCTCTGTTGCAGAGAAGGGGTCTTCAAAGTTGCTGCAAATGAAGCTGATGTTTGAAGTTTCCAGAATGACCCAGACGAGAATTCCGGTTCATGTTGCTGCTGTTGCTGCGTGATTGAAGAACTGCGGATTTCATATGCGCAGCAGAAGCTTCTGTTAGCTTATTTATTGTAGAGTTCAACTGGTTGTTGAAACTAGGTTTTGGTCCCTTGTGTTAACGTAGAAACGAATGATTACTAGAGGTGGAAACCTAGAACAAATACTAGTTGGTTGTACTCACTAGAAGCATACCTCAGTCTAGCCTATAACTTCTACATAGATAATATGTATAAGTTGACACACCCCCTAGGCTAGACAAGGGGTGAAACTAAACAGGAAGCAAACAGCTCAGGGCGGCACTACTAGTCCAACCACTGAGGCAGGGGTCTGGAGACCAGTCAGCAAGAATACAACCAAAACTGAAGCAAGCCAGGGTGGCACTACTAGTCCAGCCACTGGAGGTAAGGCCACAAGGCCAGTCTGACAAGCATATATAATAGAGAGTACACAATCAGGATCCTAACAGGGGAGCAGCTATAGGAACAAGACCAAGCTGTAGACAGTGCCGCTGATGATCTTTAGGCGCAAGCGCCTTAGTAAAGATATCAGCTGTGTTGGCACCTGAGGCCAAGTGAACTACGCGGGCCTGGCGGCGCTGCTGTAGCTCGCGCAGGAGGAAGTACCGCAGCTGGATATGCTTCGCTCTGCCCTCAAGCCGAGGCTCCTGACACAGGAGTATCATGGCCCTGTTGTCAGCGTACAGGACCGGGGCAGAGCTAGGCCGCTCACCTAAGTCTGTGAGCAAGAAGGTCAGCCAGCGGAGCTCCTGTGCCGCCATGGCACCAGCGTAGATCTCAGCCTCACAGCTAGACTGAGCCACAGACGACGAGCGAGTGGATCTCCAAGAGATAGCACCCGAACCAAGGCTGAAACAGTAGCCCTGCGACGACCTGAGCGTCTCAGCGTCGTCTGCCCAAGAAGCGTCTGTGTGCCCAGTAAGGACCACTGGCCTGCGTCCTCCTAGCACTAACCCCATGCCTGATGTACTAGCAAGATAACGCAAAACCCTCTTAGCGGCAGACCAGTGCTGAGGTCGGTGTCTGCCTGTAGCCACAAAGCGAGCCAGGATGCTGAGAGGGTATGCGAGATCTGGGCGAGTGCAAGTCATCAGGTACATGAGGCAACCCACCAGCTCTGCGTAGGGGCCACTGGGCTCTACTGGCTCCTCAGGAACGGGAGCAGAGAGCCCATGGTCTACGGGTAGAGGTGTGGGCTGTGCGGAGGAGAACTGAAGACCGAACCTCTGAAGGACCTGACGCACCAAGTGTGACTGGGTCAGAGTGATGGTGCGTGCTGCTCTGTCCCTAGAGATCTGCAGGCCAAGATAGCGACGCAGCTCTCCAAGGTCAGTGCAGGTGTGTCTCTTCAGCAGCTCAGCCTTCACAGAGGCCAGTGCGTCCCTGTCAGGAGTAGCGAAGACCAGGTCGTCTACGTAGACAAGGATGTAGAACGGAGTCTGGCCGGAACGCACAAACAGTGAAGGGTCAGCAGAGGACGGAAAGAACTGCAGGTCTGCTAACGTGGCACGTAGCGTGTCGTGCCACTCGCGGGGAGCCTGACGCAGGCCGTAGACCGGGCGCCTGAGAAGCCACTGGGTCCCAGGAGGGAAGGTACCAGTGAAGCCCTGTGGTCGGCGCAGGTAGACCTGCTCGTGTAGGCTGCCCTGAAGAAAGGCAGTAGAGAAGTCGAGGGAGTGAAGCTCGTAGTCACGCTGTGCTGCTACGTGTAGCAGCGCCCGAAGAGTGGTCATCTTCGGGGTCGGGGCGAAGGTCTGGAAGAAGTCAACCCCCTCGCGCTGACTGAAACCTCTGGCCACGTAGCGTGCCTTGAAGACAGGCGGCTCTCCAGGGGGGCGCTTCACCTTGAAGAGCCACCGACCATCGACTACGTTCACCCCAGGCGGGGGAACTGCGTCGACGTAAGTGCCGGTGGATCTCCAAGATGCCATCTCCTGCTCCATGGCAGCTATCCACTGAGAGGCCCAAGGTCCCGAGGTGGCCTCAGCGTAGGTGCGAGGGGTCGGGATGTCGAAGGCGTCTGGGTCACCCTCAGGGACTAACAGCATGGAGCAGAGATGGGGAGCAGCCTCGGAAAGGAAAGCCAGCTCGTACTGCCTGTCCTCTAGGACGTCACTGCCAAGGGCAGGAGCACCCCCGACGGACAGAGGACGGGCAGGGTCAGAGACCAGAGCGGTAGCGTAGTCAAGGCGGCGGGTAGAAGCGAAGTCAGCGACAGCAGCGACAAGCGCGTCAAGGCGCGAGACAGGAACAGCAGGGTCGGTAACAAGAGAGGCAAGGACCCGAGGGACAAGGGGACGAGCAGCACGGAGGTAGTCAGAGAACGGAGGAGGTGCAACAGCAAGGGACGAGGGAGGAGGGGACGGGAGGAGGGGAGGACGAGACGAGTGGGAACGGAGCAACATAGGGTGGGTGGGCAGGACAGGAGAGACGGGACGAGCACGGGAGGGACGGCGAGCCCAAACGTGAGACGGAGGGGTAGGGTCAGGGGACAGCGGAGGAGACACAGGAGGGGAACGAGGAGGAAGACGGGCCGGAGATGAGTCTGGCGGCGGGAACACAGGACCGTAGACAGGGAGGTCAGGAGGCGGTGGGGGAGACACCGGCGCGCGGTCCGGGGAGGGAAGGCCGAGCAGGCGGAGAGCGGAAACCGGCGGCGACGGCTGCTGCGGCGGCGACGACGGCTGGGCCGGAACTCTCGGACCAGCAGAGGCAGAACGACCGTCGGCAGAACACTCAACAGCAGCACCCCCAGAACCAACACCCCCAGAGCGAGAACCCCCTCCAACACCAGCGGCACCCCCAGAAGCCGCAGGACGAACACCCTCCTCCACACCAGCACCCCCAGGGGCCGAGAGCAGCGGCGGCAGTGGCGGCAACGGCTGCGGCGGCGGCGACAGCGGCGACGGCTGTGGCAGCGACGGCTGTGGCAGCGACAGCGGCGGCGGCGGCGACGACAGCGGCGACGGCTGCGGCGGCGACGGCGACGGCGGCGGCAGCGGGGTCGGCGACTGCGACAGTGGGGGCGGAGGCACCGGGGAAGGGGGACGCGGCAAGGACGGACCGGGGGTACCACCAGAGTCAGCAGACTCCTCAACGGGGACAACCGACGGGAGGGGAGTGACGTGGGAGACACCAGACGGGGCAGGACGAGGCGGGAGAGGGGCAGGGGCTACCGGGGGAGAGGGAGCAAGGAAAAGGGGGGGGGCAACTGGGAGACCTCGGTGAGGGAAGCGGCGGTAGAAGGAGACGGACTCATCAAAGGTGACGTCACGAGAGTGGAGGAAGCGGTGAGACGGCGGGTGGTAGAAAAGCCAGTCAGACGAGTCCAGGGGGAAACCGAGGAAGACACAGGGGACAGTGCGGGCAGTGAGCTTGTCCGTGCCAGAGGCACGAACGTGAGCAAGGCAGCCCCAGACGTGGAACGCAGACGCGTCACGGGGGACCCGGTCCAAAGGAGGGTCGGCGAAACCTGCGGCCGCTGGGAGCGTGGCCACAGGTTAAGCTGGTGAGCCGCGTAGCGAACAGCGAACGGCCACAGAAAATGGGGGGCATCGGCATGGATCATGGAGGTACGGGCGACCTCCATGACCAAGCCGATGCGGCGCTCAGCAACCCCATTCTGCTGTGGCGAGTCCGGCAACGTGTACGACTGGGTGATGCCCTCCGCACGACAGAACTGTCCAAGCCGACCAGAGGCGAACTCGCCGCCACGGTCGGAGTGGAGACACAACACGGGGAGACCGCGGTGGAGACGCGCAGCCACAACCCACGGGAGAAGAACGTCGGGCACGTCGGCCTTCCGCTCCAGGGGAAACACCGTGGTGTAGCGCGTGTAGTCGTCGACAAGCACAAGGAAGTAGCGCTCACCGCGCGGTCCGGGGACGGGGGCAGGGCCCCAAACGTCCAAGTGCAGGGTCTGAAGGGGGGCAGTAGCAGGACGCAGCGAGGAGGAGTGAGGAGCACGGCGGAGCCGACCCTCGACGCAAGGCGTGCACGGTGGCGCAGTCGAGGGAGGAAGGGCAGGGAGCGACGCGGGGAGACCTAAGACAAGACCGTGCTGGGACATGTGACGCAGACGCGGGAGAGCAGGGTGACCTAAGCGGTGGTGCCAGAGAAGGGAGGGGTGAGTGAGGGACCGACACGAGCAAGCTGCAGCGACCTGGGAGGACGCACCAACCGGGGGGGAAGCGGTGTGTAGGGTAAACAGACCGGACACCGGGTCCCGGGGGAACGTCGCAAGGGGGGAACCTGAGACAGCCTCAGAACAGACAGCGAACCGCTCGTGCCCGGGGAACGTGGTGGTGACGCCGAGGTCCTGGAGACAGCCGACACCAACCAGGTTCCTGGAGAACGAGGGAACGTGGAGGCCAGTAAGGGAGCCCGAGGGAACTGCCGGACAGGGAAGGGACGTAGAACTGCGCGCGACGACCGGACCCGCAGAGGGGTCAGCGAGAGAGACAACAGCAGGTGCAGCAAGCGGCGTGAGCGTGGAACGGTCGCGGAAGAAGCAGGCAGAAGCACCAGAGTCGAGAGTGAAGGACAGCGACGCAGTGGCGGGGGCCGGGGACGGAGCCGGTGCAGCGACTAGACTAGGCAACCTAGGCAGTCCTACGCCTGTCGCAGCAGGGGAAGCTAAGCTACACAAGGGTGAAACACCTAAACTAGAGTACACAGGGTAGTAAGATCCATCAACACTAGAAGCGTCAGCATACAAAGCATGCAAAGCAGCACCTATCTGATCCATGTCTAACTCAAAGATCGGCACGCCCTGGCGGAGCAGGCTGTGCCAGTCAGGGAGGTCCGCGGCCGGGCCAAAGCGACGACGAAAAAGATCGTCGAGGCGGCGGAAACAGCGGGCGGTCGGGTGCGGGCGGCGGCACAGAGTGCCGCGGAGAGGCCCGGTCTGAAGCTGGTACTGGCAGGTCACAGCACTGGAGCCGCTGGTAGACGCCAAGCTGCGTGGGCCGCCACCACGGCCACCGCCTCCGGAGGTGCCGGGCCAACCAGGCGGGAGACGAGCCCACGGCTGCGGCGGGTGCTGCTGGGACGGCGGCTGCGGCTGGGGCTGGTCCTGCTGCTGCTGGGACTGCTGCTCCTGCCCACCGGTGGTAGTCCCCTCAGGCGGACTACCGTCACCACCACCACGACCACTACCACCTGCGTCACCACCCCTACCTCCCTGGCGGCCACGGCCACCGCGACGCGAGCGCTGCTGCGGGTGGACAGCAGCAGCCGTCTCGGTAAGAGGGGTCGCCGTGGCGACCGCAGCCGAAACGTCAGTGAACGTGCACGGGGATGGGGCACAGCCGTGAAAGATAGAGACTGGCGGCGCACCGCTCGACTGAGCGATAGTGCGCTGGCGAGTCTCGATCTCAGTGAGGGTGTCGACAAAGGCGGTCAGGGTGAGGTCACCCGGGTGCTGGCTAAGAAAGTGGTCGCGAGCACTAGCGAGGCGGTCTGGCAGGCGCATAGCGATAAAATAGAGCGTCATGCAGAAAGGAGGGGGGAGCGCAGTGAGCTGGGCAGCAGTGCTGGCAGTGCGATAGCGAGTCTCTAGGGCACGCAAATGAGTGGCAAAATCTGCGACAGTAGGGAAGGCAGCCAGGTCTGGGAACAGCATCGGAAAGAGCAAGCGGCCAGCAGAAGCGGAGGCAGGGGTGGAATAGCGAGCAATAACGGCGTCTAAATAAGCTTTGGCCGTTTCAACAGTAGCAAAACGCGAGCGCTCAGACACAGGGAGGGCGTGACTAATAGCAACCTGAGCTACTGCATCGCGTGAGTCCCAGATCGCACAGGCCAGCGCAGCAGTAGAGAAAGCCTCACGGTCATCAGAGGAGGGGTCAGCAGGGAGGGGAGTAGGTGCAGGGGGACGGGGGAGCAAGCCATCAGCATGGACAACCACAGAGTGGCCATCCTGGCGCTGACCTGTAAGCTGGCGGCGAAGATCGGAGAGCCAGGCGGCGAAGTCAACCGCGTGGCCCTCAGCGTCCAGGCGGAGCACAAAGTCAGCCATCGTGCAGGGTCAGCGGCACAGCTCCTCAGCGACACAGCGGCACAGCAGCACAGCTCCTCAGCGGCACAGGAGCACAGCGGCGCGGGGACACGGCGGCAGCACTCTCCAGTAGGGCAGCAGCTAGGCGTCCCAGCGCAGGCAAGCAGAAGACACAGGGCCCGAGAGGACACGGCAGGCCGAGCAGGGGAGGCGGGCAGGTGCTCTGGGGCCGGGCTGGTGCTGGGAGGGGCCAGGCTGGTGCTGCTGGGGCCGGTCGGGCACGAGGAGGGGCCGGGCAACGCTGAGGAGAGGCCGGGCGGCGCTAGGAAGGGGCCGGGCGGCACTAGGAGGAGGCCGGGCGGCACTAGGAGGAGGCCGAGCGGCACTAGGAGGAGGCCAGGCGGGCGAGCGCTAACAGCAGGCGCGACAGGGGCCAGCGGGCGCGACGGGGCCTAAGGGGCGCGACGGGGCCCAGCGGGCACGACGGGGCCCAGGGGGGGCGCGACGGGGCCGAGGAGGCGCGACGGGGACCAGCAGGCACGACGGGGCCCAGGGGGGCCGCGACGGGGCCTAACGGGCGCGACGGGGCCCAGGGGGGGCGCGACGGGGCCTAGCAGGCGCGACGGGGCCTAGGAAGCGCGAAGGGGCCCAGCGGGCGCGACGGGGCCTAGGAGGGGCGCGACGGGGCCGAACGGGCGCGACGGGGCCCAGAGGGGGGGGACGCGACGGGGCTTAGGAGGCGCGACGATGCCTAGGAGGCACGACGGGGCTCAGCGGGCTCGACGGGGCCCATGGGGGGCGCGACGGGGCCTAGGAGGCGCAACGGGGCCCAGCGGGGGCGCGTTAGGGCCTAGGGGTCGCGACGGGACCCAGCGGGCGCGACGGGGCCTAGGGGGAGCGCGACGGGGCCTAGGAGGCGCGACGGGGCCCAGCGGGCACGACGGGGCCCAGGGGGGGCGCGACGGGGCCTAACGAGCGCGACGGGGCCCAGGGGGGGCGCGACGGGGCCTAGGGGGCGCGACGGGGCCTAGGAGGCGCGACGGGCGGAAGCGGTAGGCGGGGGGATCCTAACCTAAGCGTGATACCATGTTAACGTAGAAACGAATGATTACTAGAGGTGGAAACCTAGAACAAATACTAGTTGGTTGTACTCACTAGAAGCATACCTCAGTCTAGCCTATAACTTCTACATAGATAATATGTATAAGTTGACACCTTGTACTATAAGTTACAATAATGCATGTGTGCTGTTCCTATGTTGAATCGTGTATGATGACTACCATTACTTGCAGGCTATACCACTGAAGCAAGCCTTTGATTATCAACTATGCCCTTTCCATCTCCCCCTCTCCCCTCTCTCCATGTATCTTCTCTTTGACTCTCTTCTCCAGACTGTCTGAACCCACTCCCTCTCACTACTTTTGATTTTTATGTAGCCATCTTCCTTCCTTCGTTTTTCTCTCCCAGCTTCCTCTCTCCTTGTGTGCTCCTCTGCCTCTTCCCCGCCCACCGCTCCACTCTCTCGCTCATACCCTCGCCCTGCTGTCAATCATGTCCTTGCTGTTTTTCCCTGCCAAGATCACCACCCTCCCCCTTTCCCCAAACGTACCCCCTCCCTTTTTCAACCCAGTTCGCCTTCATCATTTCTCAACCTTGCCTCTTCTCTAGCCTGTTTGCTGTCTCATCCTGCTCTCACTTCTCCCTATTTTGGCCTTGTCTTGCCACTCACCCTTCTCCTGACCCACTCAAGTCAAGCAGGTGTTGTATTGTAATGAAGGGGCCAAGGCTGGTTCGCAGTTTCTCATCTCCCAGCACCTATTTCTTTCTTCATCTCTGTTGTTTCTGACACCTTGCTTGTTTGATTTCCCTCCATTATCTCACCTTCTCTTTCATTCTTCCTTGCTGACCCGAAAGTGAATGACCCGGAGCTGACCACGTCTGTGGCATCTCCCTTCTGTACCTTTCAGGACACCTCGAAGTGACATTCGGGCAACGTGTGGGTCAGATGCTAAACTCCCTCACCAAGAAGTGACCTGCAACCTGACTCGGGATTGACACCGACCCCGAAGTCACCTGTGGGCTCATCATATACTGCAGACTCGGGTTCAATACCCACCGGCATCAAATGTCCCAGATGGGGCATCGCAATAAATCACCTTTTCTCATCGCAAATAGATTTTTTGTATCATCACTTCGTAGGAAAGGCAGTCATGGGAAAATTTGTTAGAAAGATGTTGGGCTGATAAAAGCCCTTGGGATCTTTTTCAGAGACTAAGTCCCAGCTGTAGAGACTTGAGACCTTGAGTAGTGCAGCGGAAGTTTGAGACAGTTGAACCCTTGTACTAGTATGTGAGAACAAGTGATTGATTAAAGAAACAAGCATACAGCAATATATAGAAGATAAGAAAGCAGTTGTAGAGTACCGTTACAGGAACGGTTTATCGAGTCGCACAGCGACTCGATTGCCGCTTCGGTTACCATCCGTGATGTTGTAACGGTCAGTCGCAACCTCCAGTTGTGACCTTTCGAGTCTTTTCGCATTCTTTGTCCGTCCCCTCATGTAACCTCCGTTGACTCGCGTGCTCCCCTGTAGTCTTCCTCGAGTGCAGTGTTACACTTCAGAAACGCTTAAGTCCTTTGAGATATTTCCAACACTCCCCTTCGTTTCTGGAGTGTTGACGTGTTCGGGTCCGGTGACGTTTGTTTGCCCGGTCAGGAGCATGCAGTAGTCGAATTTTGCTTTCGCCAATTTCTTCGTCAGATAATCTGCGGCCATTTCTGTCGTCGGGCAGTAACTGAGTTGAAGTCTCCCCTTCGCGATTTCATCCTTGACGAAGAAGTACCGCAGGGCGATTGTCAACTTATACATATTATCTATGTAGAAGTTATAGGCTAGACTGAGGTATGCTTCTAGTGAGTACAACCAACTAGTATTTGTTCTAGGTTTCCACCTCTAGTAATCATTCGTTTCTACGTTAACATGGTATCACGCTTAGGTTAGGATCCCCCCGCCTACCGCTTCCGCCCGTCGCGCCTCCTAGGCCCCATCGCGCCCCCTAGGCCCCGTCGCGCCCCCCCTGGGCCCCGTCGCGCTCGTTAGGCCCCGTCGCGCCCCCCCTGGGCCCCGTCGTGCCCGCTGGGCCCCGTCGCGCCTCCTAGGCCCCGTCGCGCTCCCCCTAGGCCCCGTCGCGCCCGCTGGGTCCCGTCGCGACCCCTAGGCCCTAACGCGCCCCCGCTGGGCCCCGTTGCGCCTCCTAGGCCCCGTCGCGCCCCCCATGGGTCCCGTCGAGCCCGCTGAGCCCCGTCGTGCCTCCTAGGCATCGTCGCGCCTCCTAAGCCCCGTCGCGTCCCCCCCCTCTGGGCCCCGTCACGCCCGTTCGGCCCCGTCGCGCCCCTCCTAGGCCCCGTCGCGCCCGCTGGGCCCCTTCGCGCTTCCTAGGCCCCGTCGCGCCTGCTAGGCCCCGTCGCGCCCCCCCTGGGCCCCGTCGCGCCCGTTAGGCCCCGTCGCGGCCCCCCTGGGCCCCGTCGTGCCCGCTGGTCCCCGTCGCGCCTCCTCGGCCCCGTCGCGCCCCCCCTGGGCCCCGTCGTGCCCGCTGGGCCCCGTCGCGCCCCTTAGGCCCCGTCGCGCCCGCTGGCCCCTGTCGCGCCTGCTGTTAGCGCTCGCCCGCCTGGCCTCCTCCTAGTGCCGCTCGGCCTCCTCCTAGTGCCGCCCGGCCTCCTCCTAGTGCCGCCCGGCCCCTTCCTAGCGCCGCCCGGCCTCTCCTCAGCGCTGCCCGGCCCCTCCTCGTGCCCGACCGGCCCCAGCAGCACCAGCCTGGCCCCTCCCAGCACCAGCCCGGCCCCAGAGCACCTGCCCGCCTCCCCTGCTCGGCCTGCCGTGTCCTCTCGGGCCCTGTGTCTTCTGCTTGCCTGCGCTGGGACGCCTAGCTGCTGCCCTACTGGAGAGTGCTGCCGCCGTGTCCCCGCGCCGCTGTGCTCCTGTGCCGCTGAGGAGCTGTGCTGCTGTGCCGCTGTGTCGCTGAGGAGCTGTGCCGCTGACCCTGCACGATGGCTGACTTTGTGCTCCGCCTGGACGCTGAGGGCCACGCGGTTGACTTCGCCGCCTGGCTCTCCGATCTTCGCCGCCAGCTTACAGGTCAGCGCCAGGATGGCCACTCTGTGGTTGTCCATGCTGATGGCTTGCTCCCCCGTCCCCCTGCACCTACTCCCCTCCCTGCTGACCCCTCCTCTGATGACCGTGAGGCTTTCTCTACTGCTGCGCTGGCCTGTGCGATCTGGGACTCACGCGATGCAGTAGCTCAGGTTGCTATTAGTCACGCCCTCCCTGTGTCTGAGCGCTCGCGTTTTGCTACTGTTGAAACGGCCAAAGCTTATTTAGACGCCGTTATTGCTCGCTATTCCACCCCTGCCTCCGCTTCTGCTGGCCGCTTGCTCTTTCCGATGCTGTTCCCAGACCTGGCTGCCTTCCCTACTGTCGCAGATTTTGCCACTCATTTGCGTGCCCTAGAGACTCGCTATCGCACTGCCAGCACTGCTGCCCAGCTCACTGCGCTCCCCCCTCCTTTCTGCATGACGCTCTATTTTATCGCTATGCGCCTGCCAGACCGCCTCGCTAGTGCTCGCGACCACTTTCTTAGCCAGCACCCGGGTGACCTCACCCTGACCGCCTTTGTCGACACCCTCACTGAGATCGAGACTCGCCAGCGCACTATCGCTCAGTCGAGCGGTGCGCCGCCAGTCTCTATCTTTCACGGCTGTGCCCCATCCCCGTGCACGTTCACTGACGTTTCGGCTGCGGTCGCCACGGCGACCCCTCTTACCGAGACGGCTGCTGCTGTCCACCCGCAGCAGCGCTCGCGTCGCGGTGGCCGTGGCCGCCAGGGAGGTAGGGGTGGTGACGCAGGTGGTAGTGGTCGTGGTGGTGGTGACGGTAGTCCGCCTGAGGGGACTACCACCGGTGGGCAGGAGCAGCAGTCCCAGCAGCAGCAGGACCAGCCCCAGCCGCAGCCGCCGTCCCAGCAGCACCCGCCGCAGCCGTGGGCTCGTCTCCCGCCTGGTTGGCCCGGCACCTCCGGAGGCGGTGGCCGTGGTGGCGGCCCGCGCAGCTTGGCGTCTACCAGCGGCTCCAGTGCTGTGACCTGCCAGTACCAGCTTCAGACCGGGCCTCTCCGCGGCACTCTGTGCCGCCGCCCGCACCCGACCGCCCGCTGTTTCCGCCGCCTCGACGATCTTTTTCGTCGTCGCTTTGGCCCGGCCGCGGACCTCCCTGACTGGCACAGCCTGCTCCGCCAGGGCGTGCCGATCTTTGAGTTAGACATGGATCAGATAGGTGCTGCTTTGCATGCTTTGTATGCTGACGCTTCTAGTGTTGATGGATCTTACTACCCTGTGTACTCTAGTTTAGGTGTTTCACCCTTGTGTAGCTTAGCTTCCCCTGCTGCGACAGGCGTAGGACTGCCTAGGTTGCCTAGTCTAGTCGCTGCACCGGCTCCGTCCCCGGCCCCCGCCACTGCGTCGCTGTCCTTCACTCTCGACTCTGGTGCTTCTGCCTGCTTCTTCCGCGACCGTTCCACGCTCACGCCGCTTGCTGCACCTGCTGTTGTCTCTCTCGCTGACCCCTCTGCGGGTCCGGTCGTCGCGCGCAGTTCTACGTCCCTTCCCTGTCCGGCAGTTCCCTCGGGCTCCCTTACTGGCCTCCACGTTCCCTCGTTCTCCAGGAACCTGGTTGGTGTCGGCTGTCTCCAGGACCTCGGCGTCACCACCACGTTCCCCGGGCACGAGCGGTTCGCTGTCTGTTCTGAGGCTGTCTCAGGTTCCCCCCTTGCGACGTTCCCCCGGGACCCGGTGTCCGGTCTGTTTACCCTACACACCGCTTCCCCCCCGGTTGGTGCGTCCTCCCAGGTCGCTGCAGCTTGCTCGTGTCGGTCCCTCACTCACCCCTCCCTTCTCTGGCACCACCGCTTAGGTCACCCTGCTCTCCCGCGTCTGCGTCACATGTCCCAGCACGGTCTTGTCTTAGGTCTCCCCGTGTCGCTCCCTGCCCTTCCTCCCTCGACTGCGCCACCGTGCACGCCTTGCGTCGAGGGTCGGCTCCGCCGTGCTCCTCACTCCTCCTCGCTGCGTCCTGCTACTGCCCCCCTTCAGACCCTGCACTTGGACGTTTGGGGCCCTGCCCCCGTCCCCGGACCGCGCGGTGAGCGCTACTTCCTTGTGCTTGTCGACGACTACACGCGCTACACCACGGTGTTTCCCCTGGAGCGGAAGGCCGACGTGCCCGACGTTCTTCTCCCGTGGGTTGTGGCTGCGCGTCTCCACCGCGGTCTCCCCGTGTTGTGTCTCCACTCCGACCGTGGCGGCGAGTTCGCCTCTGGTCGGCTTGGACAGTTCTGTCGTGCGGAGGGCATCACCCAGTCGTACACGTTGCCGGACTCGCCACAGCAGAATGGGGTTGCTGAGCGCCGCATCGGCTTGGTCATGGAGGTCGCCCATACCTCCATGATCCATGCCGATGCCCCCCATTTTCTGTGGCCGTTCGCTGTTCGCTACGCGGCTCACCAGCTTAACCTGTGGCCACGCTCCCAGCGGCCGCAGGTTTCGCCGACCCTCCTTTGGACCGGGTCCCCCGGTGACGCGTCTGCGTTCCACGTCTGGGGCTGCCTTGCTCACGTTCGTGCCTCTGGCACGGACAAGCTCACTGCCCGCACTGTCCCCTGTGTCTTCCTCGGTTTCCCCCTGGACTCGTCTGACTGGCTTTTCTACCACCCGCCGTCTCACCGCTTCCTCCACTCTCGTGACGTCACCTTTGATGAGTCCGTCTCCTTCTACCGCCGCTTCCCTCACCGAGGTCTCCCAGTTGCCCCCCCCCTTTTCCTTGCTCCCTCTCCCCCGGTAGCCCCTGCCCCTCTCCCGCCTCGTCCTGCCCCGTCTGGTGTCTCCCACGTCACTCCCCTCCCGTCGGTTGTCCCCGTTGAGGAGTCTGCTGACTCTGGTGGTACCCCCGGTCCGTCCTTGCCGCGTCCCCCTTCCCCGGTGCCTCCGCCCCCACTGTCGCAGTCGCCGACCCCGCTGCCGCCGCCGTCGCCGTCGCCGCCGCAGCCGTCGCCGCTGTCGTCGCCGCCGCCGCCGCTGTCGCTGCCGCAGCCGTCGCCGCTGTCGCCGCCGCCGCAGCCGTTGCCGCCACTGCCGCCGCTGCTCTCGACCCCTGGGGGTGCTGGTGTGGAGGAGGGTGTTCGTCCTGCGGCTTCTGGGGGTGCCGCTGGTGTTGGAGGGGGTTCTCGCTCTGGGGGTGTTGGTTCTGGGGGTGCTGCTGTTGAGTGTTCTGCCGACGGTCGTTCTGCCTCTGCTGGTCCGAGAGTTCCGGCCCAG